GACAAGAAATGCAGGCCGAAAAGAATGGGCCAAAGCCGCTCTTACAGGCCCCTTGCACGGCCGTCTATTAGGGAATCTAAGGCCGGGACGGCGGCAGATATCATGGTCGTGGGGGACGTTTGGGTAGTCAAGTCAGTTAGGCTCCCTATGCTCTCTAAATCTCTCTAAAAAGGAAAAAAGAAAAAAAAAGAGTAAAAGACTGGCCGCAGATGCATGCTGCGAGGTCATGATGGCATCAGAATCAGTGAAAAAGCATTGCGCCCACCCCACCCCCCCAAACTCCCGCCTTCCCTATGCCCAACCACATGGGAAACTAGCAAGCCGCCCCACCTACGTCGACAGCCCAAGCAGGCTCTTCACCCTCCGAAACAACTCGACCCGCATGGCATCCCGGCCGGCCCGTGTCCGCTGCACCGCATCCCGGTTCTCATGCGCCCTCCGCAACAGATACTTCATACACTCGCCTGTCGAGCCCCAGACCAAATACTTGTAGGCGCGCGGCGTCCTTTTGCCGGCGCGGCTCGTCACCAGCTCGCAGCTGACCTCGTCCGCCATCCCCTGGAGCTGGGCAAACGCCACGTCCACGTCCGTGTTTACCTCAGAGAGGATCGCCCGTGCCTTGAGCACCGACTCCCGGTTGTGTGTGGCCACGACCAGGCTCACGTTGGGAAACGCGGCGGTTCTGGTCCCCTCGCCCTGGGGTGGCTCGAGCTCCGCGCTCCACTTGCCCCGCAGCAACGCCGCGGAGATGCCGTCGTAAGCCGCGTCCGTGTCGGCCTTGGTGTCGTGAATGAGGTGGCGGGGGTCGGAACCCAAATACGCGCCACGGACGAGCTTGACGCCGAGGGTGAAGCCACCCTCACGGGCGGCGGCAAGGTGCCGGCTAAGCGTCGACGGCGTCGACTTGAGATAGGCCTGGTATGTGCCGTAGACCACGGCGTTGTCCGCCGTGTTGTACTTTCGCATGTACGCGAGGGACCAGTCATCGATGCCCGGCTGGAGGGCCTGCTGCTCTGCGTCAAAGAGTAGGCGCACACCGCGTGATGCAGCCAGCTGGCAGATGCTGTCAATGGCGGATGACAGGGCCTCGGAAGGCTGCGAGCGCTGAGAGAGGGCGTGAAGTGCCTGCCGGCCCGCGCCGGTGAACTTGAGCGCGACGAAGTCGCCCGGCGAGGCAAGCCGTACCGTCTCCATGGTGCCATTGGCCCAGGGGGTGATCTCAGTTCGTACGCAATCTTCCGCTACAGCGCCAGTGCTACATGAGGCAAGATCCTTCATCTGTGCTTCGGTAAGCACGACCTCCTTAGCGTAACCCAAAATGACGCCGCTTAAACCGATCGTTTTCAGCGATTCAATCGTCCGTCGTACTTCGAGCGGGTTCTCGCCAGCGCAGAACTGGGCATAGAAGGTCTTTTTGAGGAAGAAGCGGAGAAGCGGGTTTCTGTCTGGGTTGAGAACTGCAACAGACGTGTTCGCCAGGACGGACATGATGGCTAGGGACGGTGGGAGTAGGAGCGGGGACGATGAAACCGTCGTCGTCATGAGAGACCGGAGAACATTGGTCAATGGCAGCACAGCCAACGGCGCCGGCTGGGCCATCTTTCTTGGTTGGTGCTCGGGCGCAGAGGATTGCAAGCCAACAGGAACTGGAGTACCTATTGTTGAGTGCCCGGCGGGTGATGCCTGATTGGAAGATGTGTGCAAAGACCGTGGTGTTGTGGTCGTGGATGCTGGTTGACTTGTGATATGAGAGTTCCGACGTGATTGGGGCGAGCAACTCAGAGTAGACGTAGAAGGGAATGCCGCAGCGGGGATGGCTGTAATGATAGGCCTCGTCCTCATCATGCTACCTGGCGGAAGAGTGCAGGCAGGCAGCGATCTGGGGAACGGCGCCATGGCAGAGTGATACCGCAATGCCTCCTAGCAACCGTTGCACTGTAGGGGATCCGAGATGGCGCGGGGTGGAGGTGACAGGCAGGAGAGGGTTTAGAATCCGATAAGCAACTTTAAAAGGTTCAGACGGGGGGTATCGAAGTATGAACGCGGCATCAATGGGTTTGATGAGACGAACTGCGAAGATATAATCGGCCAACAGCCCGTTTCTCGGCTCCCCCTCCCACCGGTATCGCAGACCATCGTCCCCGAAACGCATCATTACCCACCAATCCCGGGGCCATTACGGGACAAGATGAGAATGTTCATTGGCGTTGCAATGTGCCATTGTCGTAGCGCGCGATGCGCCGATGATCTTATCGTTGGTCGCTTATCAGAAAACCGCAGATAGCCGCACATGTGGGGCGTCCACTCTCTGCCGGCATCGCAATCCGGCCCATATTAAGCGTTCCAGAGCTCAAAGAGCCACTGAAGCGGGGCCCTGCCAAGTAGCCGAGTGCAGTGCAAAAGCGGCTTTGGGGTTTCAGGGCTTTGGAGAGGATAAAAGTCGGGCCCACTCGCGGTGTCAATCCAGGTCAGGTGAACTCCGGGCCCGGCTTAAGGACGCCGGGAAATCACTGCGAGAGCTCCTTCGTGGCAACCCAATCCTCGCCTTGGACAATCGACCAGAGATTGGGTGCGGTTGATGTCGGCGCCCATCTGTTGATTGATATGTCAGGAGGGTCAGCTGACCCTCTATTGGTTGAGGGAGCGTGGGGGTTGCTGTCGTCCGGGCCAGGACGCCGGGCAAAGCGGAGAGTGTCTCGGTCCGCCGAGTCGGGCCGTAGCCAAAACCTGTCAACTAGTCCGGCGGAGTAGCTCAACACACGGCAAAATAAGTGTGCTCCCTACTGGTTTCTCGGCTCCTTTCTTTGCGATGCGCCCAGTTTCTGTCTGACCCAGTCAACGTATCCGATGGGACGGCCCCTCACCACACCTAAAACATCCTGAAGCCCTCCGTAGACAAACCCAGCGGCAAGGGCGGCTTTTGTCGTCCGAGCGGTCATCGGCAAGGAAAAGCGATCTGCAATGCAGGTGTCAGCAGCCATTAGACGACATGTCGCAAGAAGATGCAAAGCAGCCATACTCCAAAGACTAAAGCCCCCTGCCACAGTGACGCACGATGTCACCGTGTTAAAAATATCAGCGGTTCCGCGATACGAGTCGAACATCTGCTCAATTGCGAACATGGCCGTTGTCCAGAAAGACACCTTGAATCCCATCCTGAAACCCTCGCGGATTCCTCCATATGCCATGTGGTAATTCTTGCTTTTGTGGTAGAGGAACCAGCCCGTTGTGCTAGTGGGTAGCTTGTGCGCGTGCTCTGCTCGAAACTGCAGGCCTGCCATCTTACCGCCCTGCGCCGTTCCCAGGGTAAATCCAGCGAAGAACGACAGGGCAGAGGCCATTGGAAGTCTCAGAGGGGCTGGGAGGGAGAGGCGAGCGTTGTGGTAAAGGTCGTCGATTTCGGCACGAGACGGAGGGGGCGGCAGTTCGCGCATCCGCGAAGCTCCCTTGTCGTCTGTAGTAGCCATTGTATCGGCACAATTGAGAAATCGGCCCGGCGTCAGCAAGACCCAATGTGTATGGGATCAAATCGATTGGCGGTTAGACAGAATTGGGTTGTCTGGAGCGAGTCGTGTCAGCGCGCCAGGACTTTGTTGCTCAGGTTGATCAGATGCAGCGCGTAAAAGTGCTTTCAGCAATTGAAGCTTGAAGATAGATGGATGGTGGTCCAAGCTCCCACCCACCCCAGGTGAAAGAGCGCGGGTTCGGCTCGGGCCACTGGCGAAAATGCCCCTCCATCAGGCACTTGGCAGGGCGAGCCCGCCTGCGTGGTGCTGACACTCTTCAAGCTCCTCGACACCTGGTCAACATCAAACACCTCTCCTTAATTCTACAAACAACCAGAAGCACGGCGGATACCCAATATGGTATGACTCCTTGCGGACTAGATCCCCGCTATCCAAGAGATCGTCTGGCCGATTCACACGGTCCCCACTAACGAAACCCTCTCCCAGCTGAGCAAAGCGAACACCGTGGACGATCCCGAAGTTATGATCCGCCTGAAGTATGGCATTCATACCGTTTTCATCTCCGCGATGATCGATTGGCCCTTCTCCCGACTCACCGCCGAGCTTCTCTCCATCCTCCGCGACCGCTACCCAAACGGCCTGACCACCTCAATCGGCCAGCCCCAATTGATCTCCATTCCCGCAAGCGACAGCGACGTCAAGGTTGTTTACGCCCTCCCCAAGAATTCCAGCGATTTGACGCAGGGATGGAAAACGATCAACGCACGAGAGACCGACCTCCTTGGTAAAAAGGGTGTGACTGACATGAGCTCCGTCGCCTTTTCGTTCCTCGATGTCGACGCGGACGAGTCCCAGGCTGAGTTTACGGTGGAAGTTCCGATTCTTGAGGAAGAGACTGCTCTCGGGGACGAGGAGGATCTGTGAACATCTTGAGTAGCTGATGCATTCCCTTTCGCGTTGGCAGTTCACGGATATGTGGGTGGGATACGGGATACATGGGACACAGGCGTTGAGGATAACAATACCCGGGGATCATGGTTTTGTTTGGATGACCAGAGAGCACTCTGCAGTAAGTGTCTAAGGTGTTCCATGTCTGCAGATGTTAGGGGATCGTCGTACCGGCACCTGTAGGCGATTCCATGAGGCGTCACAGAAAAGCGTTCTTGAGTTGTCAGGCCGGTTGCTGGCCGCTGTGCATTCGTCGATTTAGAGGAGGAATTTTGGCCTCAGGGCTACATGGTGTTCCGCAGGCTTTGCCTCAACCAGTGACTTCCTCTAGCGACACAGCTATCTCGGAATAAATATAACCTCCAAGCTGGTTTCTTTCCTATAGGTACCCCCAGGTCGCTGCATTGCAGACCGTGTGTGATTCTCCAAGCATGTGATTAGACGTGTCGTTCGACCTTCGATGTCTCAAAAACACTGCAGAGGCTTAGCTTAGTGAATGATAACACAATAAGTGGTGGCTCTTTGTGCGAGGCAGAAAGTTCCATAATAGGATGTTAGGATCTTGATGTGGCACCTTCTACACAAGGTTGTGTAGTGTAGTGGTTATCACTCTGGATTTTGATTTCTATCAACCCTTCCAGTAACCCCGGTTCGAACCCGGGCACGACCTCATTTTTACCTAATCGGGACATTTTAACAACCATTCCCCCAAGAGCGTACACATCTTGCCGTGCTGAGCCCCTAGCTGCTACATTGATTTAATGTTGATAAAATTCTTTTTTGCATCGAGAAAGTTCCTTGGTAAAACACTCTATTGTGGTCGTTGGGAGCCCACTATCTAACCGAGACCGAGAAAACATATTGGCCTAGTTCAATACCTCCGACTTTGCTCCTAACTTTGCCACTGCCTAGCAACCAATTAATAGAAATCTTCTTGGCCACAAACCCTTCACTTAAATAACATCTGCTCCTCCTGACTCAAACGGCCGCAAATGGAAGAGAACGGGGGGCAGCAACGTTACAATGTAAATAAGATAAGAATCAATGAACAATGGCAACCAACTCGGTTCGTGTATCGCCGAGGCATCAACGGCGGTCCGAACTTCCTTGTCCCCGATACAGGACGGCCTCAACCGCCACCATCAGAGCTTTTCAAGTTCTTTCGGTGCCGGTAGATGACAGCAAGGTCTTGGATGCCCAGCCCAGCTGCTGGTTACCACTGTCAAAAACGACAAACGCAGCCTTGAGGGCGACGTCTCCATAAATCGCAAGCCCAATTCCCGTATCCTCCTGGATCCCCCCAAAACACGTTATCCCACTTGAGCTTGTAGGGGCGTACTGGATGTAATCGCCGGGCACAGTGATCATGGTGCCGTCGTCTCCAATTCCGAAGGAAAAATCAGGAACAGATCCGCCACACGGGAGTGTGTATCCTCCCTGCTTCTTGTCGTACGTTGCGTTGCTGACTTGTTCGTAGTAGGCCGAGACCACGGAGCTGGGCAGAAGGAGCAGGGACGTACCCGTGTCCGCAATGCCCTGAAACGTGGTGTTCTCAAAGGCCCCCGACCCGACAACGTACCCGGATGATGTCCAAGCCCAAAATCCTCCACTGCTGTCCACCGGGGTGTACGTGATGTCCCCAATGTAAGCGTCCGGGTTGATATATCCGAAGGTGAATTCACCAGCTGCAAACGTCATGATGTCAGTGTGCAATCTCCGGTGAAAGGGGGCTGAATGGCACTCGGGCACCTACGAGCGCTGGCTTTGAGGTCAGCCGTAAATAGAGGAGAGTCAAGGCTGGCCTTCGCATTGTCGAAGAAAGTCTTCTGCGCCTCCGGCTTGACCGTGTTGATGGAGTTGAACCCCAGACCAAGCAAGCCATCGTTGTTGGGATCGGAAGTGAACTCGTCCGAGACCTGTGTTGCAACTTCAACCGCCTGGGATGGGACGGCCAAGCCGCCAACCGTGACTGTGTCGGTGTAAACGTTGCCGCTGGAATAGCTACCGTCTCCGTAAGAGATCTCCCACGTGTAGCCTTCCAATTTCTCGGCCGTGGTACTCTTATTCGGATTGTAGACGGTCTGCCCTTCGACATCGCTGTTTTTAGTCTCGGAGCTGAAGACCCAAAGGTCACTGGATCCCGTGTCGAAGTCAAGGTTTAGGACCTGCTCGGGGGTGCCGATAGAAACCGGCGTCAAGTACTCAACATCGTTTTTCTCTGGCTTCGTCTCGACAGTGCCATTCGGCCGTTTCGCAGTGTGACTTCTGATTCGGCTGACGGCCGCCCTGAGATCGTCCGGAAGAGAGGCGTGGTATTTGTGATAGATTTTGGCCAGCTGAACTGGGCCGCTTCGAACGAAGTTGACGTTACGCACTTGCTTCAATGAAAAGGTACCGGGGCGACCGCCAACGAAGGTGGGCAAGGAGGGTGGCAAGACCCTCGCAAGCACACAGACCGCGGAGGTGACCGCAGCGAGAACCGAAGCTGCCCGCATTTTGTGCGATAAATACTCTGAAGGAGCAGTATTGCCGTGAAGTGCGGTCGGCAAAAACAGAGATTGATTGCCCAGTGAGACGCAATTCAGTTTGAAGTTTGAGCTTAGGGGACGAAGAATGCGGTTCTCGACAGGTTGCCAGGTGCTGCACAAGAAAACGGGGAGCTGTGGGCAGATGGCATTTTCTCTCTAAACAGCAGGCAGGTATGAACACTTTGATCGATTGATGCGCCATCTTCACACTGTGGCCTCCCCTGTGATCCAGCCACGGCAAGAACGAACAACACCTCGGAGCTCGAGAGCAGAGGGGCCCGTCACATTCTTGAATTTCCCGAGTCACGAGTGAAGCATCACCGCAGCTTCCAAAATTGGTGCCTACGCTACCAGTACTTGGTAGGGAAGTGGGGAACTCCCGCATTCAGTTGATTAGGACGCAAGAGCGAAGACCAAACTGACTCATATCAATTGAAGTCGGGGCTGCAAGTTCCAGGCCACAAAACCGAAACGGTCGCAGTTACCCTCTCAGTTACGCTATGAGAGTCTGGGTTGAAGCACACGAAGTTGCTAGAGTCGGGTACTACCTACCTACCTAATCCGACGCAGCCTGTCAAAACCAAGATGACGCTGGTGACGACCGACAACTGCCGTCGCCTCGGGTGATGGGACAATAGTATTGACGCTGGCTGGCTGCGATCACCGTTCCAGCCAATACCCGCAGGTCTCAAAGCAACAATGATTACACTTCCATGTTCATCATTTCGTGCAGCACAGAACGGAGGCAGACTTGGATTGTGACAGGATTAGACAGTACCTTATGTTATTAAACCAAAAGAAGAATAGGAGTGGCACCATCAACTACTAGGATCAAAAGATATTGCACAATAAAAATATTATGGCGGCATTAACCAGTCTCAACGTATAGACCTCTTGTTCATGGAGCTATGCCAAGTTTTATCATAAACAAATCAAGTATATAACTGCTTACAATGGTGTGGGAGGCAACCAGCCTGGGCAGCCACACGTTGCCCGTGATCGCGGGTGTGTAGGTCATTGCGCAGGATGTCATTCTCGCCATGTGAGGTTATCCTGTCAGTTTCTAGCTTCTTGTGCATGGCTAGTATGAAATGCCCTACCAGCTTGGTTTTCCTGGCTTCTGCACGAACTGCTCGAGATTATAATTTATACAGTTCTCACTCCCACGGTACCTACGTATTTTTGGATCCCGGACCCAACGCGAGGCCACACCAACCACACCCAGATTCCTTAGTACAAGATGTGACCCACGGCTAACGTACACGGACCTACGCCTGTCAAAGTTCTCCCGAGGTTTGACTGCCGGGTTCCGCCGTTATCACGCTATACCGGGGTACTCTCCTACTTGTCGAGCGCAAGGCCTGCTAAGCGCCTCGAGCTCCTGGCATGGACGGCTCTCCGTTATCAATTTCCAATCTCCGTCAACCCGGGCCGCCAGTTTGTCATGTATTAGTATCTTCTCTCGACAGCATAAGTAATTATAGGGTCACTACTAAGTAGTGACGTGACTACTTGGAGAGCGGTGTCGGCGTGCAGTGCGGCCAAGCCGCATTATTCCTGGAATCGTTGCTCCACCCGAACGGCGTCTAGCGCGCAGGGCTGTTGCAGAATTGGCAGGAGATAAGCTTTTTGCGGCTTGGCGGCACCGGCCCGATGTTGGTGGCGAGAATGCTCAAATCAGCCGACTTGAACTGTGGTCGAGTCCTGCCAACCCGCCAGCCCACCTCCCGCCCAGCCTCAGGATGTCGAGGGATCTCGTAATTGCCCGCCACCCGAGCTTCGCAGCCTGACTCCTTTGGCACATTTGACAAGGAGACTCGCCTATTCCGCCATGTGATTGGCCCTCCCAATCAGCTTTTGCCCCTTGCCTGGATTGGCAGGTGCTCGAGTGTTGGTGCCCCGGCTGCTGCTGGAGTATACCCGGGAATAAGGGGGGACCTGCCAAACAACCTGTACCTTTTACTGAGCAGGAGCCAAACCACCAGGGAAGGCGTCCTGGGTACTATATATAGGTAGGGCGGGGAAATCGCTGTTCGGAAAGGAAGTTCGGAATTTGGCACAATATGTGGCAGTTGCGGGACGGGCCCGAGACATGTAAAGTCAGATTGGAGCAGGTTGGAACTGCTGCAAGTGATGTCGCACGTCGGCATGGTGCCTGCGTGGATCCGAGACCTTGGGACTCCCATACAGGTATTGCGAGGATGGAAAACTCCCCCATGCTCTCTCTTGTGCCCTCGTTCCAGTCTGGAGTAATCGGCACCGGGATGTTCCGGGCATGACCGAAATCGGGTGATCGGGTCCACGGCTCGATTACGAGGGACGGCGAGACGGTGGATGGTGGAGACATGGGGTCCAAGAACGGACACTTATCACATGGCAACCGGGTTGAGGGGTGATGTTGAACATGTACCTGCCTCTTTGATGCTGGGACGTGTGGGTGCCCGCCAATAACTCGACGGCGAGCTCTGTACAAGTATTAAAATTAGCCCATTCCAGAATCCTTTGACGCATCCGTCATTCGAGACGGTCGCGAGGTGGGAAGACGCCCAAATTGTCAAGGCGGTCACTGTAGCTGGCGCTCGTCGGGTTGCCACATAACCACCCAATTTCCAGGTCGCTAACAACGTATCACTGTATGTATGTTTGTAATCGATCTGTAGCGGCCGTACAGGGAGGGGCCTCGAGTCCTCGAATCGATATGCGCCCTTCCGGTCATCAAGTTGTCAAAGATCCTATTCACATTTCTCAATAGACCCGGAAAAAATGACACTTGCCCAAGCTGGTTACGGCAGTGGGATCCGCTCGCGGTGGGCCTGGGACCTTGGGCGCATTCGGCGCTGCGAGGATCATCTCATCCCTTGTGGTCGTTTCAACAAGAGCGGGGATCTGAGTCGAGGGCGCGAAGCGAACACTCAACACAGTGTTCCTTAAGCGAGCCGGATAACTGCCTGCTGTTCCCGGCATGGTGGCATCTGCAGGCCGGAGCCGGCAACCTGCCTTCTTCGACGACGATTGCGCAAGATGAGCCAATCAGGTGCTTGTCTGCCCTTGCCCTCGATACTCGCCCGTGCCCCACAGCATGGACGCCCACACAGCGGCCCGCGATTGACTCTTGCTGATCGTCTCGCTTCCTCAGCACTCT